ACGTCGACAAGCAGTACAAGAAGGTGCAGCGATCACTGGAAGGACTGGTTGAGATTTCCAAGGACCCCCGCGTCATGTCTGTGCAAGTCATCGGGAACGGTGACCATTCCGGATACTCATTGCCGCCATCTTACAACCGTGAGATGGGCAAGCACATCAATTGGCTGGCAGAGCGTGGCATTCAATGTGTGAACTCCACTATGCTCGCTCAGGGTGGGAAATACGACAACTACCACCTGCACGACCACCAATTTAACCGGAAACTGGTTTATCGTTTCCTGAGAGGAGCCATCACCTTCCATCTCAAATACGTTGAGCTCATGTCGAAGAAGGACGATCTCAAGTATTTTGTGAAGGAGTTCATCAGCAACGAACAAGATCGTGTGGCCGCGGTCCATCTCTTCCCCACGATGGTTCAGTTTCGTTTGGCTTTGCTCGGCACTCAAGAAGTCATGGAAGCCGTCTCCACTGAGAAGAAAACGGCAACCCCTGCCCAGGTCTTTGACGAGGCAGATGAGGAGATCCTCATGTGGGTCCATGCAGGAATTCTTGAAGCCAATGAGGAAGCCACCCGGGAGGGGAGGCCGATGCCCACTGCTTTCACTGATGAAGAGATCAGCTCCATCGTCCCAATTGACCCTTCGATCGAGGACTACGAAACCGAGGAAGTCAGGGCCCGACAACACCTTCAAGAAGATTTGAATCAGGCCGTGGCTGATGGTTTCTCAACTACAACCATTGAGTCGATCGAGATCAATCCGGAGAACACCGATGTCGATGATGATGTTGAAGTTGTTCCCGAGTTTGATGAGTGGGACGTGATCCTGGATGAGAAGATCATTGTCAATCCCCATGACGAGAAGGTCAAGGAAGATGAAATCTCGGAGGAAAGAGCCAAGGAGGTTGCAGATCTCAACAAGATCATCGAGATCACATCCACTGAGGCAAAGCCTTCGGGAACGTCGGCCGATGACCTTGCTGCTGCAAAAGATGCACCCGCAAAGACTGACCAAGGAGGGGAAGACATGACTTCATCGAGGATTTCAACATGGAGTGTGGTTGGTGGTGAAGCATCCAAGCCCAGCGACATGACTTCTTCAAGGATCTCAACTTGGACTGAGGTTGGTGGATCTGAAGCCACTGCCATGGACGTTGACTCCGAGAAGAGGGAAGGTGCTGATGCTGCCCGGGAGGGTGTGCCGACTGATGCTGTAGTTCCTGAGGCTTCTGCTTCTTCCGAACAGCCTGCTGACAAGACTGCCATTGTCGACTTGACCAAGACCGAGAAGAAGGTGGAGGTTGACAAGCCAGTTGGAAAGCCGGCCGAAAAGAAAATGCCAAAGAGTGAAAAGCAAAAGGCACCAGAGTCAAAAGCGCAGCCCAGACAGAAAGCGCCGCGACTCAGTGTCGAAGCCGATGCAGCCCTTCGCAAGTTGGAAGAAGCGACGGAACGCCAAGAGGGATCAGTATGGTTGGACCCCAATGACATGATCAACAGGATTCCCAAGGAGTATTGCGGCCAAGGGCGACTGAGATTTCTTTCCACAAAGTTATCTTATGTTCTCCGAGGACACGCATTAAGCTATGGTGCTCGCAGCCCAGACATCGATCCCATGGATCTTTCGATGGATTTCGAGGCGGTGATGAAGACGATGGCCCACTACGTCTCCTACCCGAAGATCAGTGAGGTCCTGTCCATCGTGCGCAACAGTGACACCAGGCGCTTTCAGGTGAAAGTGGCTCAGCCCGATTTGCCTGATGCAACCTGGAAGGGTTTGCCATGGAAGGTTGTCGCCATCAGAGCTGTCCAGGGACACAACCGTGCAGTGGTGGAAAATGCCAAAATTTCATCGCTGGTGAAGGAAGTGTTTACTCTGGATCCAACCTTTACCAAGGCTGACCTCGACACGCCCAAGTTGCCGAGGACAAATCTTCGCCCAGACCTCGTGCCGGAGATGTTGGCTGCACTTCCAAGGGTTATCTACCATAGCTGCGACAGGCTCGCTATGGACAAGATAGTTGAACATGGTCTCATCCCAGGTGGCTGGCCCCAAAGAACAGGAAGGGCGCATAATTTCTTTATTGCGTCGCATCCATGGGATGATTCAGTCGGTGGCAGAAAGCTCGCGGGAACGCGAGCCGGGAAGCAATACTACATTGCCTTTGACACCGAGCTCGTCGTCCAAAGCGGCTGCCGATTGTTTCGTACAGACGAAGCAATCATAAGCCCTGACTGGATCTCCAACGAGAACATCATTTGCACATATGATGCTGTCAACAGGGAGTTTGCCTGGGTGAATCGCCCCTATGAGATCACGCGTGTGGGGTACAACAACAAAATGAAGACCCACAAGGACCAGGACACTCCGAAGAGAGAAGCACTGTCAAAGAGCCCGTATGCCAACGCCAGGGACAGTTTGAAGGCCTACCTCATGAGCGGCAAGTCCATTCGACCCGGCCAGATGCAGGTGACCGACTCTCCAGAAGAGCTTCCCCCACTTCTTCGTCGACGTGAAGGAACTTCAGGACCCTTCGAGGACAGAGTGACGTTGAAGATGGCCTCCTTTGGTGCCTTGTCCAATGCTGAAACCATTCGCAAAGGCAAGGGCCGGGGAAAAGGCAAGGGAAAGGGAAGCCGCCCGGGAGGGCAGGCCCAACGCTCAACAAATGCTGAGGATTACATCTACAGCTCAAAGATTGAGATGCAACAGGTCCGATGCCACTTCTGCGGCGAACAAAACATTGAGGGCACCCACAAATGTCAGTCGTGCTTCAAATGGCTGATTGCTTGGTCGGATGGAAGAATTGCGACGGAGGTATGCCGGATGGAAATCTCGGCCAAGAAAACCAACAAGGTATTTTCTCTGGACAAAATCGACTTTGAGAAGCAGCCTCGAGCTCAGCGAGTCTCCGACCGCACCCGAGCAGATCAACGTCGAGCTGGACGAAGCAATTTCGGAAATCTCAAGGACGCTGCTCAGACACATGCGGGAAGATACACGAAGCTCGGCTTCAAGTCGATCCAGGACCGCATGGAGAAGGACCCATTTTATTTGTTCAACAATGCGGTCGGCCAGATCACTCCCGACTGTTGCCAATTTTTGGAGGACTTGGCAAAATGCATTGCCCCTGATGTCGGCCGTACCCGAGAGAAGCGAGAAAAGCAGCTGGGAACAGGTGTCAGCACTCGTTTGATTTTTATGCCAGACTTCAACAGAGACATCCGACTCCCGTTGGACGTTACAAAGGAAGCCATGGTTGCACATCATGCACGAGTTTTTACACTCCCACAATTTGCTGTTCTTGCTGCGGACTTGCTGAAAGCGAGGGGGGAACCCACGCCGATGTTATTTGGATGGTCTGGCTCAGTGTTACCTGTGGATCAGGCGTCAGCCCAAGATTGTTTCTTTGACCTCGTCGACTTCGCGAAGAGGCAGTGGAAGGAACAATACAATAACATCAAGGGTGAAGAGCACTCCTTCGTGGATGAAGCCACCGCATCAGATGTGGCTGAGTTTCCATTGGCAAGGTCCTCCAAGACGGGTACTGGCGAAGGGCGAGAAGGATACCGGCGTCACTTTGACCCGATCCAGAAGCCAGCAAAGGGCAAGGGCAAGGGTTATGGTCAGCAACAACGACCAATCTTTCAGCAGGCCATTGAGTGCTGGAAGTGCGGTCAGTACGGCCACAAATCCTTTGAATGTCGCAGTGGATGGAGCCGAGGGCAACAGTGGGGTTCGTATGGATCTTACTCAAGCCGCTCGGGAGGGCAGGCCCAATGGCAAAGCTGGAATTGGAATCAGGGCTACTCTGGCCGAGGTTGGACCGCTGATCCTTGGGGAAGATCTTCAGCATCAAGCTCCTCGGCAGCTCCTCCGGAACCAGTGCGGCCACCATCAACGGCGACGCCTATGCCTGACACAACACCAGCTGCTGGCGATTCTGCCCAAGCTGCCTCTGGATCAGCTACCGCAGCAGAGCCTCCACGACAAGTGCCTCGTGCACCAGTTGTGATTGCCGAGGAGTACTGCGAGATCAACGGCCAGCCGCACTACAAGCGCACCTACAATGATGGGACGGTAGAGTTTGAATCTTGGTAGATGTTTCACATCTTATGCCATGATTTTATGCCTACCGGAAGGTTTGGCCGATTGGATGAAAGCTGACCCATGGTCATTCAGTTCAATCGAATTGCACACATTTCCAAAACTTTAAATTCCAACTTGATTGGCTTGAAACTTTTCACAATTGATTCAAAAGATTTCGACACCAGCATCCGATCCATGTAGCTTGCGTGTATATAGCCGTGTACATAGGCCTGATACAGTAGCTTTCAAGTTTCCAAGGCAGTGTAAGGAGTGGTAATGCTCCTATGCCTTGGCGGAAGCCAGGCCAATGTCGCTTTTGCTATTTCCAAGCACATGCAATGCCCAGGATCTCCAAAACATCCGATTATGCCTTTTTGCCTCATGCACCCGTTGAGTTGAGACCGATTTCTTTTGACGATATAATTCTGCAGTGATGTCCATGTAGCTCCGTTGCTCTCAGGTCACTTCTGGCGACCGAGCTAGGCCTTCCGTCCTCCGTTAAAACTACGGGGCGGCGGGGGGTGTTTTTCATAGGTCTCACTGCTTATACTCGTCATGTATGGCTCAAGAAAACAAGCGCATATTGCTGGGGTATTCGGGCTGTTTAATCTGTAAAACAAGTTTGTTGGAGGGGAACAACTGAGAACAACTTAGCAACATTTAGCACCATTTAGCAGCAAGATTTAGCAAGATTTAGCCACGTACAGTGACATACAAAGACATAATATGCTGGAGTTTGATGGATTTGAAAGCCTGCAGGTTGCTTTCAGCGCTTGGTTCAGTGCATGTTTATGCAGATTCATGCATCCATTGCAAGAGATGAGGTCATGACATTCAAAGTCTCAAGCAGAAATTGAATGGGATATAAAAGAGTGACGCTGCGGACTGTGGATCGCTGTGATGTGTGTTGCTATGCAGGAGGCTACACCAGCAGCTGCTTCCACTGCAAAGCCACAGGTTGAAGGGACAGTGGGCCCTGAAACAGCTGAAGTGGTGCCAGTTCAGGAGAGGATGTGGATGAGATCGGATACGACATGATAAGAAAACATGGTTGAAAGACATGTGTTGGACTGACTCATGAGAATGTGTGAGCAAATATGTGTTCAGATGTGCCACAGGAGCAGAAGGAACTGGTACCCGACCTTTTGGGGCAGCAGGAGGCTCGTCCATCGTGGTGAATGTGAGTTTGTTAGAGGGGAACAACTGAGAACAACTTAGCAACATTTAGCAAGATTTAGCAAGCTTTAGCAACATACAGTGACATACAAAGACATCATATGCTGGAGTTTGATGGATTTAAAAGTCTGCAGGTTGCTTTCAGCGCTTGGTTCAGTGCATGTTTATGCAGATTCATGCATCCATTGCAAGAGATGAGGTCATGACATTCAAAGTCTCAAGCAGAATTTGAGTGGGATTTAAATGGATTTAAAAGAGTGACACTGCGGACTGTGGATCGCTGTTATGTGTGTTGATACGCAGGAGGCTACACCAGCAGCTGCTTCCACTGCAAAGCCACAGGCTGAAGGGACAGTGGGCCCTGAAACAGCTGAAGTGGTGCCAGTTCAGGAGAGGATGTGGATGAGATCCAATAGGACATGATAAGCAAACATGGTTGAAAGACACTCACGAGAATGTGTGAGCAAATATGTGTTCAGATGTGCCACAGGAGCAGAAGGAACTGGTACCGGACCTTTTGGGGCAGCAGGAGGCTCGTCCATCGTGGTGAATGTGAGTTTGTTAGAGGGGAACAACTGAGAACAACGGAGAACAACTTAGCAACATTTAGCAAGATTTAGCAAGCTTTAGCAACATACAGTGACATACAAAGACATCATATGCTGGAGTTTGATGGATTTGAAAGTCTGCAGGTTGCTTTCAGCGCTTGGTTCAGTGCATGTTTATGCTAACGGGTGCCAAACCGTACGTGTAGTTACAGTTGAAGACGCCACGCATGCTACGCTGAGCATGTGGTGAGGTGGAGATGTGTACGTTCGGTTGAAGTTGAACACGCCACTGCTGCTACGCTGATCATGGGGTGGGGTGGGGTGGGGATGTTAACGTTCGTTAGCATTTGAACACGCCACGCATGCTACGCTGAGCATGTGGTGGGGTGGAGATGTGAACGTTCGGTTGAAGTTGAACACGCCACTGCTGCTACGCTGATCATGGGGTGGGGATGGGGTGGGGTGGGGTGGGGATGTTAACGTTCGTTAGCATTTGAACACGCCACGCATGCTACGCTGAGCATGTGGTGGGGTGGAGATGTGAACGTTCGGTTGAAGTTGAACACGCCACTGCTGCTACGCTGATCATGGGGTGGGGATGGGGTGGGGTGGGGTGGGGATGTTCACGTTCGTTAGCATTTGAACACGCCACGCATGCTACGCTGAGCATGTGGTGGGGTGGAGATGTGAACGTTCGGTTGAAGTTGAACACGCCACTGCTGCTACGCTGATCATGGGATGGGGTGGGGTGGGGTGGGGATGTTCACGTTCGTTAGCATTTGAACACGCCACGCATGCTACGCTGAGCATGTGGTGGGGTGGAGATGTGAACGTTCGGTTGAAGTTGAACACGCCACTGCTGCTACGCTGATCATGCACGTTCGTTAGCATTTGAACACGCCACGCATGGGCTGAGGGTGGTGGGGTGGGTGAACGTTCGGTTGAAGTTGAACACGCCACTGCTGCTACGCTGATCATGGGGTGGGGATGGGGTGGGGTGGGGATGTTAACGTTCGTTAGCATTTGAACACGCCACGCATGCGACGCTGAGCATGTGGTGGGGTGGAGATGTGAACGTTCGGTTGAAGTTGAACACGCCACTGCTGCTACGCTGATCATGGGGTGGGGATGGGGTGGGGTGGGGTGGGGATGTTCACGTTCGTTAGCATTTGAACACGCCACGCATGCTACGCTGAGCATGTGGTGGGGTGGAGATGTGAACGTTCGGTTGAAGTTGAACACGCCACTGCTGCTACGCTGATCATGGGGTGGGGATGGGGTGGGGTGGGGTGGGGATGTCAACGTATATCGTGTGTTCTCGTTACCTGTTTTGAGGAGTGCATCATAATAATTTATAATGGTTGTCATACTTCTGTTGGTAGTGTCTTTCACCACGGTAACGATAAAGTTCATCCCAATGGTGATAAAAATCACCCTCTAATTTCATATGTTGGTCATTATTAGATATGCTTGGTATGATAGCGATCTTTCATATCGTGAGGATAATAACTCATCAAATCACTAGTCAGTGAGGTCTACATGCACAATGATCAATGAAAGTGGCAAGGCAAAAAAGGTCCGAAATTTGTGCTGTAAGGGTTGCAAAATCCAAGAAAAATGACATTTTTTTGGAACATTTTTTTCCTGATCAGAAGGCCACGAAACACTGAAAGGGTTGTCATTTTTTTCAGCATGTTGATGCGCCTACACGCGCGATTCCGCACCCGGCGGGATGTTTATGCAGATTCATGCATCCATTGCAAGAGATGAGGTCATGACATTCAAAGTCTCAAGCAGAAATTGAGTGGGATTTAAAAGAGTGACACTGCGGACTGTGGATCGCTGTTATGTGTGTTGATACGCAGGAGGCTACACCAGCAGCTGCTTCCACTGCAAAGCCACAGGCTGAAGGGACAGTGGGCCCTGAAACAGCTGAAGTGGTGCCAGTTCAGGAGAGGATGTGGATGAGATCGGATACGACATGATAAGAAAACATGGTTGAAAGACATGTGTTGGACTGACTCATGAGAATGTGTGAGCAAATATGTGTTCAGATGTGCCACAGGAGCAGAAGGAACTGGTACCCGACCTTTTGGGGCAGCAGGAGGCTCGTCCATCGTGGTGAATGTGAGTTTGTTAGAGGGGAACAACTGAGAACAACACGGAGAACAACTTAGCAACATTTAGCAAGATTTAGCAAGCTTTAGCAACATACAGTGACATACAAAGACATCATATGCTGGAGTTTGATGGATTTGAAAGTCTGCAGGTTGCTTTCAGCGCTTGGTTCAGTGCATGTTTATGCAGATTCATGCATCCATTGCAAGAGATGAGGTCATGACATTCAAAGTCTCAAGCAGAAATTGAGTGGGATTTAAAAGAGTGACGCTGCGGACTGTGGATCGCTGTGATGTGTGTTGCTATGCAGGAGGCTACACCAGCAGCTGCTTCCACTGCAAAGCCACTGGCTGAAGGGACAGTGGGCCCTGAAACAGCTGAAGTGGTGCCAGTTCAGGAGAAGATGTGGATGAGATCGAATAGGACATTATAAGAAAACATGGTTGAAAGACACTCATGAGAATGTGTGAGCAAATATGTGTTCAGATGTGCCACAGGAGCAGAAGGAACTGGTACCGGACCTGTTGGGGCAGCAGGAGGCTCGTCCATCGTGGTGAATGTGAGTTTGTTGGAGGGGAACAACTGAGAACAACTGAGAACAGCCGAGAACAACTTAGCAACATTTAGCAACATTTAGCAACATTTAGCAACATTTAGCAACATTTAGCAACATTTAGCAACATTTAGCAACATTTAGCAACATTTAGCAAGATTTAGCAAGATTTAGTAAGATTTAGCAACATACAGTGACATACAAAGACATCATATGCTGGAGTTTGATGGATTTGAAAGTCTGCACGTCGCTTTCAGCGCTTGGTTCAGTGCATGTTTATGCAGATTCATGCATCCATTGCAAGAGATGAGGTCATGACATTCAAAGTCTCATGCAGATTCATGTATCCATTGCAAGAGATGAGGTCATGACATTCAAAGTCTCAAGCAGAAATTGAGTGGGATTTAAATGGATTTAAAAGAGTGACACTGCGGACTGTGGATCGCTGTGATGTGTGTTGATATGCAGGAGGCTACACCAGCAGTTGCTTCCACTGCAAAGCCACTGGCTGAAGGGACAGTGGGCCCTGAAACAGCTGAAGTGGTGCCAGTTCAGGAGAAGATGTGGATGAGATCGAATAGGACATTATAAGAAAACATGGTTGAAAGACACTCATGAAAATGTGTGAGCAAATATGTGTTCAGATGTGCCACAGGAGCAGAAGGAACTGGTACCGGACCTGTTGGGGCAGCAGGAGGCTCGTCCATCGTGGTGAATGTGAGTTTGTTGGAGGGGAACAACTGAGAACAACTGAGAACAACTGAGAACAACTGAGAACAGCTGAGAACAACTTAGCAACATTTAGCAACATTTAGCAACATTTAGCAACATTTAGCAACATTTAGCAACATTTAGCAACATTTAGCAACATTTAGCAACATTTAGCAAGCAACATTTTTAGGAAGATTTAGCAACATACAGTGACATACAAAGACATCATATGCTGGAGTTTGATTGATTTGAAAGTCTGCACGTCGCTTTCAGCGCTTGGTTCAGTGCATGTTTATGCAGATTCATGCATCCATTGCAAGAGATGAGGTCATGACATTCAAAGTCTCATGCAGATTCATGCATCCATTGCAAGAGATGAGGTCATGACATTCAAAGTCTCATGCAGATTCATGCATCCATTGCAAGAGATGAGGTCATGACATTCAAAGTCTCAAGCAGAAATTGAGTGGGATTTAAAAGAGTGACACTGCGGACTGTGGATCGCTGTGATGTGTGTTGATATGCAGGAGGCTACACCAGCAGTTGCTTCCACTGCAAAGCCACAGGCTGAAGGGACAGTGGGCCCTGAAACAGCTGAAGTGGTGCCAGTTCAGGAGAGGATGTGGATGAGATCGAATAGGACATGATAAGAAAACATGGTTGAAAGACATGTATGGGACTGACTCATGAAAATGTGTGAGCAAATATGTGTTCAGATGTGCCACAGGAGCAGAAGGAGCTGGTACCGGACTTGTTGGGGCAGCAGGAGGCTCGTCCAGCTTGGTGAATGTGAGTTTGTTAGAGGGGAACAACTGAGAACAACTTAGCAACATTTAGCAACATTCGCAAGATTTAGGAAGATTTAGCAACATACAGTGACATACAAAGACATCATATGCTGGAGTTTGATGGATTTGAAAGTCTGCACGTCGCTTTCAGCGCTTGGTTCAGTGCATGTTTATGCAGATTCATGCATCCATTGCAAGAGATGAGGTCATGACATTCAAAGTCTCATGCAGATTCATGCATCCATTGCAAGAGATGAGGTCATGACATTCAAAGTCTCAAGCAGAAATTGAGTGGGATTCAAAAGAGTGACGCTGCGGACTGTGGATCGCTGTGATGTGTGTTGCTATGCAGGAGGCTACACCAGCAGTTGCTTCCACTGCAAAGCCACTGGCTGAAGGGACAGTGGGCCCTGAAACAGCTGAAGTGGTGCCAGTTCAGGAGAGGATGTGGATGAGATCGAATAGGACATGATAAGAAAACATGGTTGAAAGACATGTATGGGACTGACTCATGAAAATGTGTGAGCAAATATGTGTTCAGATGTGCCACAGGAGCAGAAGGAACTTGGACCGGACCTTTTGGGGCAGCAGGAGGCTCGTCCATCTGGGTGAATGTGAGTTTGTTGGAGGGGAACAACTGAGAACAACTGAGAACAACTTAACAACACTTAGCAGTTGAGCAACATTTAGCACCATTTAGCAGCAACATTTAGCACGATTTAGCAACAAACAGTGACATACAAAGACATAATATGCTGGAGTGCATGTTTATGCAGATTCATGCATCCATTGCAAGAGATGAGGTCATGATATTCAGAGTCTCAAGCAGAAATTGAGTGGGATTTAAAAGAGTGACGCTGCGGACTGTGGATCGCTGTGATGTGTGTTGATATGCAGGAGGCTACACCAGCTGCCTTCTCCGCGCCCAAGTCATAATTTGCTGAAGCAGCTGGTGAGCGCTCCAAAACGGGGCGCTGCAGAGAGCCAAGGACAGAGGAACATGGCGACTTGACAGATAGTGAGAATCCAGTGGATTTATTGATTTCGCAGTGAAGTCACCGTTTGGCAAACTTGATTTGCAACTGAAAGCCACCAATGGCTCTTGGATGATCTTCTCTGCATCTTGTCCCTTCCAGTGGCTCACTGAACCGTTTTGTTTGAAAATGAATGAGTCTTTTCCTGGTCAACAATTACCTCCAAACTGAAGCTTTCAGACCACCAAAATGACCCTTCGCCACAGTAAAACAGCATGCTATCGGAATGTCTTCTTTCCTCTGTTGCTTCGGCTCAATGAAGACTTGCTTGGTAGAACGACCTGGGTGCAGAGGCCACTTTTTGGAGGATGAGCCGCTCGGATCACAACTTCGGTGGAGGGGGCAGCAGGGTCTTTAATTTTTTTTTTGGGTGTTGTCCTCTTAGACAAACTGTGGTTCTGGTAATTTGACATGATTTTCTCTTCTGCCAATAAATGTGCTCACTGCTTTCAGGGTGACCCAACGGTAACCTGAGGCAAGCCACTTCCCGGTTGCTTTTCCCAGAGGGTAAGCGTAACGGGGCCACCGTAGCGCCGTAGCTCTGCCATTCAGGCGCTGGATATGGCGGTTCGGCCTCGCCAGGTCCTGGTTCTCTGGGACCGCGGCTGATCGCTACCATTTTTGGGGACTCCCAAAGTCTACCCACGACCTTCCTATGTTAAGGTGATGATATGTGATGATAGACACCAGTGAGCTTTTCCCATTATTCTTCTTGATCGGATCCCCTTTATAATTATTTATTTTGGAACCACCATGATAGATAAAACATGATAAACCAGTATCAAACCAAAAATGACCCAAGATGTGCAGGGATTGTGGCATGGCATGATGCCACTTTTGTATATCAATTTTGTGCGACCATTTCCCAATCATTTCCCAACAATGTAACAAGGACACAGATCTTACCATCCCGAACCCACCAAAACAGGTGGGTGAACCATCCACGATTATTGGCAGTTCAAAAAAACCGGTAAGTCAAACTGGTTCCAGACTTCTTAATTCAACCAGAAATTGTGGGGGTTGACATGGTTTGACCCTCCAAAAGCCATGGTCCCATGGTGTTGTCCTCACAGGTCTCTCCAAAACCATCGCAGTCCTAGCGGGCGATGGCATCGGACCGGAGGTCATGGCTGAGACGGTGAAGGTGGCGATCCTCACAGGGGCCCAGGATGGAAGAACTGGAGATTTCGAGGTTTCTCCATATAGTTTGTATTGGGATTCTTCTGGGATGATTTTAAACATAGATGTCTGACATGAAATGACATGAATATTTTCGGAAAAATTAGATGTAGGAGATGTTCTAAGTCTTTCTAAATCTGTTTTGGATACTTGCCAGTGGCAATCAACCAACACGAATTTATCAGCCACAAAAGATTTGGGTTTAAACCAGACAAATATGGGTAGTGGATGGTAGTGGCTAGTAGTGGCTAGTTGCGACGAGGAGCCTTTGCTCAGCAGGTCTTGCAGAAAGTTGGAGAGCTCTTTGGTCATAGCTTCACCTTCAAAGACTACAAGGCAGCTGCGTGTGTTCTCGATCCGATGTGTTCCCCTTCTGGCTGTTGAGGGGCCCCTTTTTTCGCTCTTAGGATCCCATTTAGATGGAGAAAACCACCGCTTGCCTCAAAATGGCCTATACCCCAATTTGCATGACGGCCATATGTTAATATCGTTTATGACAGCGAGGCTCGAAACACCATGGGATGTTTCTATCTCCCAAACATCTATCAATTTTCATAAACCAGATTTCGGAACATGAGGTTTTGAAGATTTTAGACTGTTAGACAATTTTCCAACATTTTTGTTTACATTCCCCAACAGCGTTGGCTTAGGGGTCTCAGCCCAGATAAAGGTTCAGTGCAGTTTGCAGTGCAAGTTCCGGGCTGGATCGGGAAGGTTCTGAAGGTTCCGATGCATGTCTTATGTGGGTTCTGGAGTGGTTGTGATTCCGGAGGTTGGCGTGGTTGTTCTGGAGGTTCCGGTGTGGATTCCGGTGTGGGTTCCTGTGGGTTCTGCTATGGTTCTGAAGATTTTGGTGCAGCTTCCGGGATGGTTCGAGAGGTTCCGGCGTGGAGGTGTTGGAGGTTCCGGTGTGGCTTCCGGGACGGGTCGCCCGTTGTCAGGGTTGAAACTTGACAGGTGTTCTAGGTGTTCTCCGCGGTGACTAACACGCTTTCCGATCCATGGATCCCCCATGGCCCAAACCCTGGCAGGTGGGTGGTGCCGCATGGGCTGCCACCGAGGCGGCAGGCGAGACGCCGTCGCACCTGCCGCAGACCACGCTGGAGGGCTGCGAAACATCCGACGCCTGGTGAAACCACTGGGGGCCCCAAAAATGAGGGATTTAACGTGGCTTAACCATACTTATCATTTATCAATATTTATCATATACCTATATAATCCTATATATCATATATCCATCAAAAAATCGTCATTTCGTTTTTTTCTTTTTCCGAACAACATTTAAGGGATTTCATCCAAAGAACGTGGAATTAAAAGCAAAAACATTTGGGGTTAGTTAAAACTCCAAAGAATCGGGGATTCAGCAACCATCAAACTAAGGGATAATCCAATGGAGATGGGAGTGGAATATGGGTTGAATCTGGGTAAACCTTGGTGTTTGATGCTCTAATTTCATCTAATTTCTATTTGGCATCCATGGGAAGGTGTACTGAGTCTAAGTAGGTCAAACATTTTTGCAGGGCATCTAAGATGGGCAATGCAATGATTGGCCCTGCAGCTAGTTATTGGCCCTGCTAGTTATGCCCCCATAACTGCGGCAAACGTGGCTTCGACTGAGGATCTGTCAAGTTTTTTTCGGGTACAGTACCAGGTTGGGAAGGTGATGATTTTGATCCATACTCAGGTGGCCAAAAAGGGGAAGCACCACGGAGATTCAAGGGACGATTTTGAGGATGGAAACTGTGACTTTTGGAACCATGCAACTTTTTGGGAGATTCACATGGCTCTTTTTTTTGTTTGCATTCCACCTTTAGGTCCGCTCTAAGCTTAGGATTACATCAATGGCAGTGAATGGCCACTAAAGGCCGGCTTGTTCGGGCAATGGGAGAACAAAACACTGGTGACTCGGTGCCACCAAGGATGCCATTCTCTTCGGTTCAGTGGGAGGTCCGGTGGATAAGCAGCATGAGCGCCTCAGATGCTTCAGATGCACCAGATTTGGTGTGGGTTATTACTTATATAAATGTTCATGGCCGGTGAATAGTGGTGAATTTTGATGAATTTCGAACTTTTCTGAGGCAGAAATTGGGGAACATTTTCATACTCCAGTCAAAATGTGTCAAAATAATTCACCATGTTGCAGGGTATCTAAGACATGGATCTGGGGGGAGGTTGCCGAGACGTATCAAGCTCAGAAGCCCAATTTTGACGGGCTATGGGCCTCAACTTGATATGGCACTGGGAACTGACCGTTGAACAGCGTGGGACCATAGATAATCATAGATACCCCTACGGTTGGTTGATCAATGGAGGCACCCTTTTTTTTCGGAACTACAAAAGGTACCAGGTACATGTGTTATTAATATACCAGTGAGCGAGCCAGAGTTGTTCTTGACGGGGGATGGTTCCTACCCAATCTACCCAGGCCCCAATGGAAGGATTGCGAGAAGAATGCCTTGTTGGGCCTTCGGAAGCGGTTCAAGCTGGCAGTGAATCTGCGACCCTCCAAGGTGCACGGAATTTTGGTTTGGATGAGTTTCTTCCCGAATCTTCGTACATGATATGTACATGATATGTACATGATATGTACATGATATGTACATGATATGTACATGATTACTATATGATTACATGGTGAGATGTTCGTGATTTTTGGCGTGTTTTTGGTGCCCATTGCTGTGTATCTGGGGCTTGAATCACATGCAGTGAATGTGTTACATAAGTCCCTTGAACTCTAGAAGCTCGTTTAGCCATTTTTCAAGGCACGCAATTCTGGCAAAAAGAGCTCTGGTAAAGGAAAAAAACATGGTGATGGGAAAGTCAACAATGCTTCAGCCGTAGACTCGCCAGGTTTATCCATTCCTATCGCACCTTTGCCCTTTGAAGCCTTCCATCATAGGCGCAGCCAGCGCCTTTTTTTGATCAGGGCCTTGGGATTGAAGATGTGCCGGAAGCACAAAATCGCGCTTATGTTGCTTATGCCTCCAAATTCTTAATCTCAAGCTTTGATGACGGGCATGCGGGTCGCATTTGCCCCTACCTCATGTGGGGTCGCACTTGCCCCTACTGAAGGTGGAGGTAGGGGCGCAGCTGACCCTAGGGTAGGGGCGAATGTGACTCGACCTCGTTTTGTGTGGCAGGCGCAATAATTAGTTTTAGAGGTGGGAAAGGCTCTGTATCCAGCTCTAGCAGTCAGCATGCAGACAAATTGCAACTGTCATGGAAAGTCGGTTCCAATGAAGTTGTTTGGGATGCTACGTTCTCAGATCCATTTCCAATCCCTTCAAGCAACTTGCCGTGACATCCATTTCAATCAACTTCCAAGACTTTCTGCATGCTACGTTGCAACAACCACTTCAAGCAACTTCCAAGACGCTCTGGATGCTACGGTGTAGCATCTATTTCCAGTAACTTCCAAGACGTTCTGGATGCTATGTTGTAACATCCAGTTTAAGTAACTTCCAAGACTTTCTGCATGCTACGTTGCAACAACCACTTCAAGCAACTTCCAAGACGCTCTGGATGCTACGGTGTAACATCTATTTCCAGTAACTTCCAAGACGTTCTGCATGCTACGTTGTAACATCCATGTGAAAGGCAAGTGACACTGGTCCCCCCTAACCAATGTCCCCAAGTCCCCCCTAACTGTCCCTTGTCCCCAGATTAACCTTAAAAGGTTGATGGACTTATTAACTAGAAGGTAAGTGTCCAATGTCCCTTGTCCCCAGATTAAGCCCTAAAAGGTTGAATGACATATTGAGCAGAAAAGTAATTGAGGTAGGGGCGAATGTGACCCTAGTTGGGGTAGGGCCGGGTAGGGGCGAATGTGACCCCCGTCCCCTCCAAAGTCTTAATCTCAAACTTTGATGTATTTTGATTTCAACCTTTTCTTTTGGTTGTATCAAGTTGTATCCCCAGCCTTAACATTGAGTGAGAGTGCAGGCACGGGAGTCGACATGGTCATCATCCGCGAGCTAGTGGGAGGCGTGGTGAGCTGGGCTCATGGTCAACAACCATCAGATGAATTCTATGGAATGATAAGAAGAATCATAATCGGAACAACAATGGTACAATACTAAGTAAAGATAGTAAGAGTACTGGTACTGGTAATGGTAATAGTAAATAAGAGTAATATAGTGATAACATGTGATAACGATAGCAGTAAACATGAGAATAATAATGATAATACAATGACATCAACATACATGACATTTGTTACGCTTCCATTGGTGCCACGTTTTTGACTCATACCCAAATGATCCCAAATGGTGCTCATACTGCAGCGTAATGGTCTCGTCCTGTGGATGCTGATTTTGCAGCTGAGGATTCTTTGTCAACAGATTTATTTGATATGGACATTTTTTTTGAATCGCCGAAGGCGGAGAAGGAAACTTTTGAAAAGAAACCGGAAAAAAATAAGAAGGAGATATCTAAGAAAAAAAGTAGCGATAGAAAGGGTCAAATCACACAGAATGTCGTGTCACAGAAGGACCAAAACACAAGTTCTGATGACTGAGGGAGGTGGCATTTTGTGCAGCATTGGTGTGATTGTACGGATGGTGAGCCTGAGCCAGGCGTCTTCATGAGGTGTCTATCTATTTGGTATCTGACATTTCGGGCAATGTTTGGTGCTTGCCACAAGCCAGCTGCTTTCCCATAACACACCCGCAAGCATCCCCTACTGCTTCCTCAAGAGTTAAGCATATACCTGGTCTGTACCTGGGCTTAAGGTTGCCCCCATACGGGGGGTGCAGACTTTAGGGCCACTTTAGGGGTCCCTGAAGATGTTCCTGAAAGAGCCTGGTGACAGGTTGAGGGGGGAAGATCAGATATGTCAATCATTGTATGCCACGTAGCTTTTGTGTCAATACTGTATGTAGTGTATATAGATAGAAGATAAGTAAACCTATGCAGATGTGCTCCAAGCCGGTGGCTTCAGACCCAGATAGAGTCGAGGTGTGTAAGGAGCGACTGGTTTGGAAGCGGGGGGGTGGTTTGCATGTTCTCAGCGCAGGCATCTATTTTGGAGAGCACAAGAGAGAAGGAGACAAGGCCTGTTGACAATCTTGGAAGGGGAAACATGGGAGGAACACATGACATGTGTACTACCGCAGATTTCATGATTGTGATTTTGCTCAATATTGCATAGAAGCACTTGAGACTTGGCTCGTTCTCTGAAGGTTAATGTTTTTTGAATGCAGTCTGGAATCACCAAACAGCGCGTGGGGGTTGCGTCTTGATTTACTTGCATGTATATATATATATATGTGCGTGTGTGTCTAGTGTGCTCTTTGTGACTTCCAAGGCCTTTGATGTGATGGAGTACACGGCGGGATGGGAGATGGGAGATGTGATTTCCATTGAAGATCAAGTGGATGACAAGTAGATGCAGACTCAGTGTCGGGAAGGACAACTGGAAATTCTTTCTCCATGCTAACACACATATTATGGGTTTGGGAAAGCCACCATCATTCCTGTGAACCTCCGTGAAGATCTGTGAAGGTTTGTGAAGATCTGTTAAGATCCTGTCACAAAAATAGTGCTCATCCCGTCTTTCCAACTGGCCTAGGTGGAGGGCATCAAAAAGCCGATGATCTTTGCATTCGAAGCAGCCCGTTTAAGACGAAAGAAGGCGACGCGGCAGCTTCGCCGCTTCCACTGGTCCTGCAAGACTTGAAAGGCATGTCCTAACAGCAAAGTGATGAGTGATGAGTGATTAATTAACTGTTGTAAACATTGAGACTTAGACTTAGCTCGTAGACAATTTGAGTCTCCTGTTTTAAATCTTGAGGCAACATTTTTTCGGCTGGGGGTTCGGTCATTTTCGATTTTCCAGGATATGCCCTGGATGATGATCCTGATGAACAAACATATTGGATCATATTGGACGGTTTAAAGCTGCCACAGCAGCATTGAAGTTTCAGGTGACCGTGGTTGACAAGGCCAACGTTTTGGAGTGTTCTCGCTTGTGGCGCGAGGCAGGCGCTTTTCAACGACTTGGCACTGACTGAACTTCTCCAAAAGTGACGTTTGAACAGATGATCATGACAGATGTGGATGGGTCGAAACAGTGTACCCCAAGCAGTTTGATTAAAGTTTGCTCTTTTTTTGCTATATATGATATGAAGTTATGTAATGATATGTATATGTATGACATTGTATGATACAACATTATATAATACTGAACAATCATGTATATATATATATAGAAGTTATATATATATATGTGTAATGTGATAGACGTACAGTTGTAAAATATTGAACTTTATTGAACATGACCAAAGCCCAAGCTTTTGGGTCCCTGTGCCTGAGATTTTGACCATCTGGAGATGACCAGGTGGCCCGGGACGTTCACAAGAATTACCCTGATGTGGAGCTGGACTTTATGCATCTTGACCTTTTAGCGCACTCAATGCAATTCTCCGTTTTGCACTGCAGGGAGATGTATCCAAGGTGTAGAGTCATGTGAGAGCAGCTTCGCCTCGAATGTGGCCCGTAAACTTGCAGAGATAAGACTGTTGTTGGATTTCTTTGTTTTTTTCCTAAAAAATCAGGTACATAGACAATGCCTGCATGCAAGTGATCCAGAAGCCCTCCTTTTTTGACGTCGTCGCCACTGGGACCTTGGGATACGGGCGGCGGCGTACCTGAAGTGCTCAGGGAACAAGATGTGGCTGGTGTTGTGGCTGGCGTTTCTTGTATGGTTGGAAGATGTTGGAAGTGAACCCCATACCTCTAATGTTGGGAAGATTTTGGAGGCTTTTCAACATTTTTCAACCATCCAAGTGTTTTGGAGGCGCAGATTTGACCTGTGGTCAAGACAAGCCTTGACAGACTTGACAGATCGAAGTCTGCCGCAGGAACATGTTCGGCGACATCTTGTCTGATGCTGCTAGCGTCCTGCCTGGTTCATTGGGACTGATGCCACTCGCCTTGGTATCGGCTTGGCCCAGCAGTCAGGTGGAACCCGGCTGTTATGGATATGGATAGCATTGGGCATTGGCCCTTCCAAGGCCTTCAGCATCCCTTGGCGATGGATTGCACATGTACGAGCCCAGTGGTGGGAGCGCCCCAGACATTGCAGGCCATGACACTTTGGCCCATCACATATCCAGTGGTTGGGACATAGTTTTCAGATGCATCTCCAACAGGAAGTGTTCATTGCCTTGAATTATCCTGGTTATTTGTCACTTTTGTATATCCAATTGTGGATACCCAGCTTTGGCAGCTTCGATTTGACTCCCCACTTGAATTTGTTTCGATTTGTGCGTCTTGGACTCAGTCACAGTGCTCAGTCCGTTGTGGATTTGCCAGGGAAAGGCGTCGCCAATCCGATCGCGCAGATCTTGAGTGGTGCAATGATGCTGAGGCTGGACGTGGACAAAAAAAAGGGTCGAACGTCATGGTGTTGTGACCATGTTGTGGACGCGAACGAGGACACCAATGGTTGGTGGTTGGGGTTTCCCTGTTTTCAGACACACTACAACTTTGCCTGTAGTTTTTATCCTTTTTTTTCCGTGCGACTTGTCCTTTGGCTGCAAGCCTCAGCTTATGTGTTGGAATTGTATGGAATTGTTGAGTTTTGTGACAGGTACTCTTTCCAACTGGAGAAAGAGGCTGCAGCCATCGAAAATGCCTGCGAGACAGTCTTGAGGTCACTGGGGCATTTTTGGCAAGATGATTTCCACATGGAAATTGACATTGTTTGGCAATAAGACTGGTGAATTCACTGTGAGCGCATGAAAAGCAAGGTGTTTCAGAAACCGACAGAAGTCTAACGCTTTGGAAGCCTATATGCAAGTGTAAGATGTTTACAAACCATATTGACAACAATGCTGCAAAGGTAGTTCTATCCTTCCATTCTGTTTCTTTTGTTCGAAAACGCAACAAGTCGACGGGCATGTGGCCGCATAGAAATTTGGTAAGTACTTTCACTATATAAAGATGATAAAGGTTCTAGCGACATTTAGGAATTGGATTGTATTTGATTTGAGCGGACAAATTCAATACAGGCATATTCCACCAACATGTCAAAGGAAAGAAGGTGTGCAAACAAAATTTTGGAGGTATCTGGAATGGGATCTCTTCAAACTTCAGCTCATGGGGTTCCAGGGAACATTACAAGAAGCATAAACACCTATAAACACCACTATTTCGGAGGGCTGAAATCGGTTTTCAGGGTTTTGAAACATCCCATTTCCATCCATTTTCCATCCCATTTCCGGTGTTCCTGTGATTTCCAGGTCTGGCAAGCTGACGGGAGACCTTTTGGAAGAAAGCCAGCGTAGCAACGCGGTCTCCACCAGCGACATAGGCTCGGAGCCACGTGAAACACGTCTGACGTGGGACGAGTGCCTTTGGTTCCCATGAATGGTTAGTGGTTGTTTGTTTCAACCTGGTTCAAGTATTTACTTATATAATGTATGATTAATTTATATTATTATATAATATATCATATCATATCACATATATATATATATAAATCATTATTGGTATATATATATGTATATTATATATAGTAAATATATAGATACTAATTATACACACTATTTACTTAATCTTACTCATACTGCAATGATGGATCGCAATTGACGATGTCCATCCCCGAAGATAGGATCTTGATCGTTGATCCCACTTGGCTTTTTTCTTCGGTGTCGCCTCTGAAGGCGGTCAAAGCAGTGTTGGAAACCTCGTCGTTGGATCAGGTGGCGGCAAACATTGCACATCGTAAGGAATGTGCTGAGGTTAAGCACATTGACATTCAACTTTCCAGGACGTGGATGAAATATCCTCTTGGTGAGCAAGCCTTGCTTCTCACACAGGTGACCGGGGTGACCTTTACTCGCGACTGTTTGTCACATGCTGTGGGTGCGGAGATCTCGCGTGCGTGCGGCCCTTTCTGGTTACTTCTTCTTGTCTTGAGCGAAAGTTTGTCTTCTGCGATGGGAGCTGTTTGTCCCCCAGGTCTCCAAAACTTGCTCTTGCGGGTGGTGCAGTGATCCTGGCGAATCCAAATGGGACTCACGACTTGGTGTGGTCCGGGCTTTTTGCTGGTTTGGACCAAAGCAGTTATCGGGCCGAGATCCTCGCGCTGGCGGTTGCCCTTTCTTCTTTCAAACGTGTCACGGTTTTCTGCGATAACCTCGCGGTGGTGCGGGTTGCCACTAACTTGTTGAAACTGCCGGAGGAGCACAGGTTGTCCAGTCTCCCTGCGGAGCACCAAGACCTTTGGACGCTCCTTTGCAAGACAGTTGAGAGTAGGACGTGGGGTACTTGCATCGTTCGATGGGTACAGGCACATCAAGATCCTCAGCGGTTGGTAGGTGAGACCCGTGTTCTGGCCACTTTCAATGGGAGAGTTGATGCGGAGGCAAAAAAGGTCGTGGTCGCAAGAGCGCAGCACGGGCTGTACCGGGAGCTCTTCAAGGTATAGAACAGTGCGAAAGAGGATGCGGCTAGATTGGCTGACTTGCACGTGGCAATTGCGCAGGCATTCGTCGAGGTTGAACGGCCCAAGATCGTGGAGTGGGAACCTGGCGGTTTTCTTGTGGTGGGTAGAGGTGCACGGCTTGACGAACTCTCACTTCGGTCCCAGGTGCATTCGGGCTTTGCCGGGAGGTTGCATGAGTGGCTGTGCTCCTTGAGATGGTACCCTTCCTGTGCCGCTGGGTGGCGGGAGATTTCTGCTCTTGAGCTGCTTTAACAATTTGTTTTCGATACGGGTTCGCTTCCTCCCTTTTGGTACGAAGGTAAATGGTGCGTGCTGGAGGACTCGGCGCTTAACTCTTTCGTGCTCCCGCGCATGTCGCAGTTGTATCGCACGTGGGTCCGGGCACTCTGTGCCGTTGACGGGCTCCGGGCGTGTGAGGATGAAGATGTTTCAGGTTTGCCCTTTGCGCGGCTTGGTGCCCGAGGGTTGTCTGTGGGCGGTCGGATTCCCCTGCACCCGGTTGTGGTTTCGGATCTGTCCTCGCTTTTTCGGCGGTCTGGTGGTATTGCGTCGTTGAGATTCCCGTCCTTTTGGTAGTGCGTTGTGCAGTTGTGGATTGGCAGCTCACACAAGCTGGTTGGCTGTCTTTCCGGCACAAGACTTTTGTGCGAAGTCAGAGAGGGTGTCTCAGTCAGCAGCTCAACATCCGATAAGTTTCCCTCAAAAAGATAGAACAATCATTGACAACAATGAACAGTGACTCCAAGCAACTTTGATGGCACATGATGATATTTCAATCTTTGCCCCTATAACTTTGCATCAATTTCAATCTTCACCAGACGGCCTTGGGGTCAGCTGGTTGCAGGGGAAGCAGTGGTCAAAGCGCTGAAGTCATGATCCCATCGCCGGCTTCAGGGCCAAAGTTGACCACTGGCTAGAGCTTTAGAGACTTTAGAGACCGGAGCCTCTAAGTTTTCCAGAAACTTTTGATCAGAACTCCATCTGAAGAAAATGGTAGCTGATGTGGTGCTACATGGTATGAGATTTGCAAGCAAGTAAAGCAGAAAAGCAAAGGTTGGTGGAAACTGAAATCATTCAGGCAGCAGCATAGACATTCCTCGGACATTTTTTGTGCGAACGGAAAGAAATCTTGGAGTGGCATTGCTATTGTCACCTTCTGCCCTGCGGCTCAAGCATCCGGAAACCGTACCGAAATGATCAACCCCTCCAGTTCCAATTGATCCAGATGCCTATCCATTGACGGTGTAATCGCTTTCTGAAGTCAAGTTGGATAAATATCCTACCTTTTGAACCACATTTTGAACCTCATTTAGCAGCTACCCAGACATGTCCAGAAGATCTTGACCTGGAGCATAGGTGAGTCCCTGCGGATCTCTTCGCCATGTGTGCCACCCATCGCTGAGTCTAGCTGTTCCAGGCTGACTTCAGCATGCCTGCCCTTCCAGTGACTTGCCCAAATTCTGGCAATGAAACGTAGGATCGAGGATGGTGAATCTCCCCTGCCCTATTCTTGTTGATTCACGGCTGGTACATAATCTTCCCGTTTTTGATCATCAAACCCGCTATTCCTATCCTTTGACGCACCCCATTTTGGTTGACAAGCCCTGATTCTAGCTGCTGCGTGCCCTTGAGGTTCCATGCCGCGAGATTTTGGCCGAGACCATTAAAGACACCGTGCAGCGAGTGCCTCGCATGGGTGGCGCCTTGTGATGTGACCAGCGCCCAACCCTGCTGGATGCAATCCGATTCAGAACTTGAATCGTTTGAAGCAAGATATTCAGCTAGTTTCCTTCTGAGGTGTAAGATAACTCCCCAAAACTCCACAGCGGTCTACTGTAGACACATGACTCACATGACTTCTCCTAGGTGCAACTCCTGGGTGTTCGACCAAAAAGCATGTATTCTTTGAGTATTCTTTTGGGTAAACCGGGTCTTGGGTTTCCCTGATTCTTTTCTCAAATCATCTCATATGTCGTTGGATATTTGAAGGCTAGTTTTGATCCAACCGACACGATCAGATACTAGGCCTAATCTGGCCTGTTTGTCTCAATGGCCAGGACGCCCGATCTGTGGTTTGTAGGGACCTTAGAGTCCCAATGAGCAGCGCTTAGGCGGACGTGCCTCTCCATTTTGAGAGCTTCTTCGAGCTGGCTGCAGCGAGAGCTCTGATGGCCGGAACTGGATTTTCACTTGTCAACCGCAAATGTTATGGAAAATTCAGCTCACCGAAGGAAGTTTAGAAGTCAAACTTCCGACAATATGGACAGATGAAAAGCAGAGATGGGAAGAGTAAGAGAAGAGAAGTGAAGAAGAAAGAGGATCAAAGAAGAGACAGTCAGAAGAAAGAAGATCCAGGTGCGAGAAAGGTAGGAAAGTCGCGAAACACTGTGTTTTTCCAATGATTTGTGGCTCCGGAGGGTCGAAAAGTAGGCTCGCTAAAGCGGCGGGTGCGGAGCAATCTGGCCAGATGAGAGATGAAAAATCGCACGCCGTTGTGGCACGCAGCACATTTCGAAGTCAAAATGTACAAAGCACTTCAGATTCAAAGCACTTTTAAAAGTTGCGATGTCGAAAAAGTGCACGCCGTTGTGGCGCAAAGCACATTTCGAAGTCAAAACGTGCAAAGCACACCAGGTTCGGAGTACTTTTGGAAGTTGACATGTCGAAAAAGTGTACGCCGTTGTGGCGCGAAGCACATGTCGAAGTCAAAATATACAAAGCACACCACGTTCAGACTGCTTTTGGAAGTTGAGATGTCGAAAAAGTGCACGCCCTTGTGGCGCGAAGCACGTTTGCAAGTGAAAAAGCTAGGCTAAAGACACCTCACGTTCGGAGCACTTTTGGAAGCTGAGATGTCGGAAAAGTGCACGCTGTTGTGGCACGAAGCATATTTCCTAGTGCTTAAGCACTTCAGTGTCGGAGCACTTTTGGAAGTTGACATGTCGAAAAAGTGCACACCGTTGTGGCCCGAAGCACATGTCAAAGTCAAAAGTGTTAAGAGCTGACGGTCTCGGAGCATTTTTGGAAGTTGACATGTCGAAAAAGTGCACACCGTTGTTGCGCGAAGCACATTTTGAAGTCAAACGTGTAAAAAACTGAGGGGTACGGAGCACTTTTGGACGTTCAGATGTCGTTTTGCGTCGCAGGCGCAGGGGATTGCGCACCTGGTCAAAATTGAGCAAAACGCGAGTGTTTTGCAGCAGTTTCAAAAACGATGGCAGGTGTGGGACATGTGAAGAGGATCTGGAAAGATGCATTTTGCGTGGCAGGCGCAGTACAAGAGACACATGAGGTAGATGTGTTAGGAGATCAGGGTGGAGATTCCTGAGATAGGTTGCATTTTGGAGCATGAGATCTTCAGGTTTGCTAAGGTGATTTTGCGTGACAGGTGCATCACTTCGTATGACCTGGCATCACTTTTTCGTGGCAAGCGCAGTACTTTCGACAGATGGAGTGGAAAAAGCGCAAAACGCATTGGTACGAGCCTGTCAGCTCTGCACTCAACTTTCCATTTTTGAAGGAGGTCTCGCAGAATTGCTTTGTTTTTGATGCTGTCAACGTGAAAAATTGAGGAAGTCTCGCAGAATTGCTTCGTTTTTGACGTTGTCAAATTCAAAAGTTGAGGAAGTCTCGCAGAATTGCTGCGTTTTTGCTGCCGTCAAGTTCAAAAATTGAGCGCAGAATAGCTTCGTTTTCAAATTTGCAGATAGATTAGATTAGATGAGATGAGATTAGATTACATAAGATTAGATAGATAGATGGATAGATAGATCGACAGATACAAAAACAGAAAGACAAACAGATAAACACATATATTTGTATAAATATATTATATAAAGATAGACAGAAAGATAGACAACTGCAACTGCACTACGCCACACTAGAATTACAGCTTCAACTACAATTACACTACCACCACAACTACAACCACACTACCACTACAACTACAACTTCAACTACACTTCAACTACAAGAACCACAGCTACAACCACAGCTACAACTTCAACTACACTTCAACGACAGCTACAACCTCAACTACAAATACTACAGCTACAGATACAATGACAAGTGCCACTGCAACTACAACTACAACTGCAACAACTACTACAACTACACTACAACTGCAACTGCAACTACAGCTGCAACTACAACTACAACTTCAGCTACACTACAACTACACTTCAGCTTCAACTAGAACTTCAACTTCAGCTTCAAACGCACTACTACTACAACAATTACCACGACACTACAATTACAACTACAACTACAACTACACTACAACTACAGACTAGAACTGCAACTGCGACTACAACTACAACATTACAACTTCAACAACATCAACGCCACCACAACTACAACTACAACTACAGCTGCAACTACAACTACAACATTACAACTTCAACAACATCAACGCCACCACAACTACAACTACAACTGCAACTACAACTGCAACTACAACTATAGCACTACACCGCACTACATCCAGGAGTTGTGAGTGAGGTGGCCACTGCAACCATGCCAGCCACTCCTAAAAGCTCAACTCCAACCACCTTCTGGTCCATCGATGGATTCGCTCTGCCATCCATGCATCACAAGAACTTACCTCTCCTAAAGTGTCCTATCCTTGAAACTTCCGCCACCGCCTTGTGCGGTACTACTGGAATATATTCAAGTATCCTGACATTGATTTGAGTCATTTGAGCAAGTGGAAGCAGCACGCATCTGATCCCTGCATTCAAAGCGTTTGGTATCCAGCTCCTCTAAGTGCCTTTCGCACCGAAACGCGGTTTACAGATCTTACAGGGTTTCAGCGTAATGGCGCAATGCCGCAAAAGCAGCCACGCTGCTACATTTTTTGCCAAGTCTTTCTTTATTTGAATTTGTGTAAAGCCTATTAGAACTGCATAGAATTGCACCTGGCAGATGCTCTTCATTCTCCTGGGCATAATTTTGTTCTCCCTTTGGAGAGTTGCAGATGTTGCTGAGCCCGTTTGGAGCCGAGTCAGCGATGCAAACGCGTTGTTGCTGTGCTTGTGGACATTCGGTGGCTGCTGCGAATTTTTCCAAGGAACCTGTCCAAGAAGTCAGCTGCCAAAAGCCTTCGTGACTTGACTGCGGTAGGAGTCCACCGATTGTGATATATTGTGATAGTTTATGATGCGTGTAGGGTATTTCAACTGAAGATTTGTCCGACGACAGTCCTCCTCCTCCCCCTCCTCCCCCTCCCCCCCCCCCCCCCCCTCCCCCTCCTCCTCGTATCTCCTCGTCTTCATCATCATCATCATCATCTTCTTCATCTGAACATATTGAAGTGGTAACCCAGTGGTAAGCGATTTTTCCCCAACAGCAAAACTTTGCTATGGGGTCTTTAGCCCAGATTAGCTCCGGTGCGATCCGGTGCAGCTTCAACATCAGGTTTCGGAGGGTTCTGGTGCAGATACCTCATGAAGTTCCGGAAGGTTCCGGTGCAGATACCTCGTGAGGTTGGGGAGGGTTCCGTTGAAGATACCTGCTGAGGCTCCGGAGGGTTCTGTGCGGTTCCGGAGGGTTCCGGTGCAGATACCTTGCGAGGTTCCGGAGGGTTCCGGTGCAGTGTCTGTGTGCAAGGCGCGGGTCAAAGGCACGTCTTTTGTCAAGGCGCGCCGTAAAACGGTAAAATTGTAAAATGGTAAATTCCATCCCGAGAAACGCCCCGTAAAACGGTAAATTCGTAAATTTACGATCTGAGCGTGCCGCTTTCGGAGCGTAAAATGGTCAATTTGGTAAATGTGCAAAATTTTCCGTAAAGGCGTAAAACCGTAAATTGGTAAATTTATGTTTTTTCGCGGACAGCGTGAACAGGAGAAGACGGTAAAGCCGTAAAATGGTAAATGCGTAAAGGCGTAATGTATCAATTGTACTACAGCGTGAGGAGGAAGAGGCGTAAATTCGTAAAGTTGTATCATGATACTACGAGGTCAAAATTTACAGTTTTACGATTTTAACGAATTTACCTTTGCCTGGACGCAACAAAATTCACCACTTTACCGATTTACCCAATTTTACGGTAAAACCGTAAAACGGTAAATTCGTAAAGTTGTACCATGATACTACGAGCGTAAAATTTACAGATTTAACCCTTACCCGCACGCAACAAAATTTACCACTTTACCGATTTACCCAATTTACCATCGCCCTAAGAGCGGCAAAATTTTACAATTTACCCGTTTACCCAATTTACCATCGCCCTAAGAGCGGCAAAAAATTTACCGATTTACCAAATTTACCATTGCCCGGAGAGCGTTCTCTCCTTAGCATCATGCCTTACACAGTGACGGCTTAGTCGATACCTTGTGCAAGTACTCGGTGAGGTTCCGGAGGGTTACGGTGCAGATTCTTAGTTAGGTTCTAGAGGGTTTTGGTGCAGGTACCTGGTGAGGTTCCGGAAGTTTCCGGTGCAGCTACCTGATGAGGTTCCGGGAGGGTCTAGGTAAAGATGCGTGGTGAGGTTCCAGAAGGTTCCGGGGCAGATACCTTGTGAGGTTCCGGAAGGTTCTGGTGCAGAGACCTTGTGAAGTTCCGGAGGGTTTTGGCGGAGAAGATTCTTGGTGAGGTTTCGGAGGGTTCCGGTGCAGATATCTTGTGAGGTTCCGGAGGGTTCTGGTGCAGATGCTTTGTGAAATTCCAAAAGGTTCCGATGTTTTTATGGCATAAGCACTTAATTTTTATTGCAAAAGCGCTTAATTCCCGAATGCATAGCGAGGGTTCCCGTTTCACTCTGGGGGTCTGGGGGTTGAGTGTGTGTTCGCTCGACGTTGCGTTTGTGGTCGCAACCGTCCGCAACCGTCCGCAACCGTCCGCAACCGTCTGCAACCGCTTCGTTTCGCATGGCAGGCGTGGCACTTCGTGACTTCAGACATGTTTTGTAACGTGTCGAAAGTCGTTTTGTGTGGCAGGCGCAATACTTTTGCGATGTTTTCCGAAGATGCGTGGCAGTTTGCGTGGCAGGCGCAGCACTTTGGACATGTCCATCGTTATTTTGCGTGGCAGGGGCAGCACTTTAGACGGGTCGTGTTGCGTGTTTTTTGCAAATCGCATTGGAAGGGCTGCGTCAAGTGAGTCAAGTGGCGACAAGCTGCAAATTCCCTGGCAGGTGTGGCATTTTGTGTGATGTGCTGAAAATTGACGGAAGCCTCGCACGAAACATCGATTTTGAGATAGCAAAAGTTGAGGTTCCTGAGAAAACTCGTAGGAAAACGTCGATTTTGATGCTACAAAGTGCCAAAAGTGGCGGAAGTCTCGCGCGAAATGTTTGTTTTGGTGATCCCACCTGTCTCGTTTCGAGTCTCTGGTTTTCTGGTGGCTTCGCCGTGTCTATGGGGAAGGCTGCAAAACATCTCCTTTTAGAAGGTTTCCAAGCAGGTTATCATGTCGTTTTGCGTGGCAGGCGTGGCGCTTTGTGACATTCCAACCTGTTTTATACACTCCACACTCCACACTCTATTCTTCCAACTCCCCACTTTACACTCCACACTCTACACTTTACACTCCACACTCCACACTTTACACTCTACACCTTCACACTTCACACTTTACACTGTACACTCCTCACTCCTCACTCCACACTCTACACTTTCCACTCCTCACTCCACACTCTACACTTTACACTCCACACTTTATACTCTACACTTTACGCTCTACACTCCACACTTTACACTTTACACTCCTCACACAACACTCCTCACTCCACACTTTACACTCCACACTCTACACTCCACACTTTACACTGTACACTCCTCACTTCACACTTTACACTCCAGACTTTACACTCCACACTCTACACCCTACACTCCACACTACATTTTACACAATACACTCCTTGCTCCTCAATCCACACTTTAAACTCCACACTCCACACTTTACACTCCACACTCTACACTTTACACTACACTCCAGACTCCACATTTACACTTTACACTGTACACTCCCCACTTCACACTCCACACTGCGCACTCCACACTCTACACCCTACACTTTACACTCTACACTTTACACTTTGCACTGTACACTCCCCATTCCAGACTTCACAGTTTACACTCCACACTCTTTACTTTACACCCCACACTCCACACTCTACACTTTACACTCCACACTCCACAATTCTCACTCCACACTCCACACTTTATACTCCACACTTCACACTGTACACTCCACACTCTACACTTCCACTCCACACTCCACACTCTACATTTTACACTTTACACTCTACACTCGACACTTTACACTCTACACTTTACACATTACACTCTACACTTTTCTCTCTACACTTTACACTCTACACTCTAAACTCTACACTTTACACACTACACTTTTCTCTCTACACTCTACACTCCGCACTCTACACTCCCCACTCCACACTCTACACTTTATGCTTTACACTCTACACTTCACACTTTACCCTCCACTCTACACGCTACACTCTCTCACACTTTACACTTTACACTTCACGCTTGACACTTGACACGCTATACTCCACACTCTAGACTCTACACTTCACACTCCACACTTTACGCTCCACACTCCACACTCCACACTTTACACTCCACACTCCACACTCCACACTGTACACTTTACATTCCGCACTCTACACTTTACTCTTTACACTCCACACTCTACACTCCACAATCTACACTTGACACTTTGACTCCACACTGTACACTTTACACTTCGTACTCTACACTCCACACTACACTTTACACTTCACGATTTGCACTTGGCACTCCACACTCCACACTTTACACTCCACACTCTAGCCTCCACACTTCACACTTTACACTCCGCATTCCGCACTCTACACTTTATACTTTACACTCCATACTCCACGCTGTACACTCCACACTTCACATTTTACACTCCACACTTCACACTCTACACTCCACACTTTACACTTTACACTGTACATCCCTCACTCCACACTTCACACTCCGCACTCCACACTCTACACTCCACACTCCTCACTCCACACTCCACACTCCACACTCTACACTTTACACACTCCAGACTCCACACTTTACACTGTACACTCCTCACTGTACACTTTACATTCCACACTTTACACCCCACACTCTACACTCCACACTTCACACTCTACACTCTACACTCCACACCTTACACTTTACACTGTACACCCCTCTCTCCACACTTCACACTCCACACTTTACACTCCACACTCCCTACTTTACACACTCTCCACACTCTACACTCCACACTCCACACTCCAGACTCCACCACACTCTACACTTTACACTTCACACTCTGCACTCCACACTCGACACTTTACACTCCACACTTTACACTCTACACTCCACACTTTACAGTCTACACTCGGCATTCTACACTTCACAGTTTCCACTCCATGCTTCGCACTCCACACTTTAGACTCTGCACTCCACACTCTACACTTTACACTTTAAATGTACAGGACTGTGTAAATAAACTGTTTCAGAAAAGTGTTCTGCATGACTGTATTTCCAGGTGTTTGACATCATCACCATTAACATACGTGTGAGCATTCGGGTTCGTGGGCTGCATTTTGTTTTTATTTTTATGGCATAAACACTTTTTATGACAAAAACGCAGAAACTTTCAAGCTGTTGGGGATAGCACCTGAGTCTATTTTTTCATCTGAGCATTTCAAAATGGCAAGTGACCAAAACACTTGTTCCTTAACAAAGCACGCTGCAACCACTTTTCTTGGAGAAACAGGTCCAGAAAGAGAGGTTCCGGAGAGATTCTGGTTAATAGCGGCTGTCACAAACAGAATTAAGACTCGTTTTGTGATAGGAAACTCCTTGCAGTGGACAAACTGCTCCAAGCTGTGCCCATCTCTGCACCTTCCCTGCCTTTCATAGGCCGGGCTCGGGGCGTGCCATGGATACCTGCAGATATTGGATGGGAACTGATGGAGTTCAACGTTTGATCCGAACGCATGGGGTGGAACATATTTAGAATCATGGATAATTCATGGATATGTATTGCCTCGCACAAGAATATGGCTCTTTGGACTTGCCATGTTTTTGAGATTCACATCATCTTCTGGACATGTTCGAGGTATTTTGCATTCCACCTTTGTTTCCATTGCCACCAGGGTGCCAAATGGGGCGATGATCTGATGATCCCACTGCCAAATCCGGCAGGTGGCGGGCGAACCAATTTGCCAGAGATTTGTCCTCCTTACATGAGAGCCTCCCAAGGAGACTGTGGAGAATGTTGACTTTGGACGTAGAAACAATTCTGCGGTTGTGTCTCACTTTTTGGTTTCATCCTAAAGATAGCATGTTATCGGTCTGTTGCTTGGGGGCCCTCAACCAACCTAAGATTGAGGTTCAATCTTGATATTAGCAGCACACAAGCACTCATGGTTGATGAAGTGTCACATGTGAACTCATTGAGACCTTTCCTCGTAAGGAGAGGTAGTGGAAATATATGAGCATATTCCTTTTGGTGGGTCCTTCTGAAAGATGTACTGAAGCAGTCCGTTTCTTGACTCACTTTTTGGTTGACAATCTTGGCGCTTTTACTGCTCTTGGGTGGCGCGATTGATTCGCACCTTCCTTTTCCACCACGAATCTTTTCATCCTTTCAAGTGATATTCTTCACGATGTTTCAAGATGTTTCAACTATATGTTATCAGTAGATGATAATGGTCACAAAATGTCATAGATGCATGTTATTCATTGTTGGATTCATGGTTTCTTCATTGTTTATGTATGTTAACTGTATGTTAACAGGCTGTCAAGGGATTTCATCCATGGCATAGCTCCCTCAGGAGCTGAGCTTTCATTGACAGCCTCAACGGAGCTGTTGAGCCAACACGGGACCAAAGTCTTTGGCCTCGGCGCCTCAGTGATGAGGCTGGGATATTTGTGGCGAACTGTGGAAGTGGTGGGTTAATGTTGGTTAATGTTGGTTAATGTTGGTTACTGTTGTGATATGTTCTTTTCTTGGTATCATCCAAGAATTAAATGTTTACTTTCGATCCGTCACCTGCACCGGAAAACCTTTGAGTGGATGGCTTGTATGGAATTCGCTCCTCAACTATTGAAAAACAGGTTTTTGAGTCACTTCCTTGATGTTGCTTGTTGACGTCGGAGTCACATGCAGTCACCTGCAGTTGCAATTCATGGTATGTTCACCTTCGCAGGGGTGCGCCAACATCTCTCCTAACAGCACACGTGCTTGAAGGACCGAGCAACGGCATGAGAAGTATACGACCTGGGTGTCTAAAAATTGAAGACCAATAGTGGTGGTGAGTATACTTTGGATCAAACATTGAGCGCTTTCAAGCTTTGGTCAAGAAATCCGCTGCTTTCTGGCCATACTCTGTCTCGCATGTCGCTAAGATAAATGAGGTCCCGTCTCAGCGCTGATAAACAGGACCATCATTATATATAACTATATAATATATATATATAATTATAATATACAATAGTAAGTATACAATAAATTACAATAATACCATTAGACAAAAAGGTCGGACTTTGGTCGATTTGGGAAATCTCGGGCAGGAGAGACACGAAAGTTGGAGCTGCGGGAGCAGGTCGTTTTTGGGTTCCGCTGGGTCCGCTGGGTGGGGATTTGGAGCAGCTCTGGTCGCCAGGAGCCTGGAAAGGAGCCAGGTGCAGCTTCCAAGGTGTTGCTGTCCACCTCTGAAATGGACATCTGGAAAGGTGAGGTGAAGTCAGGAGACGACGTGTTTTGTGCATCTCCACTCACATATTTTCATATTTTTCATACCATCTATGATGTTTTATGTAGGATGTAGGATGTATGTGCATATATGAGTATGATCATATATGTAGACTGTATACTGCGCTCTTTTGAATTAATGGGAATACATACTATATACTTTAAATATCTATATATATATATACATATATATATATATATCTTTATGGCTAAGGGAGCCAGCGGACCTGCCTATGTGATGAAAGGGGTTCGGCCAGGAGAGCGTCTGGGCTCGATGGAGTGCACCACTCTGGAAGGAGATAGCGACCGATGACATCGACGATGTGTCGGTGAAGAGTATGAAGATCAGAATGATCATAGGGACGAATACATAACCAAAGGAAGTTTAGTTAGAAAGCTTCCGAGATACGGCCGATGGTGATGGTTGGCAAACACACAATCATGTCAACCACATGTCAACCACCCTTCATCAAGTAGTTGGGAAGCGTAACAGTTTGGAAGCGTGTGAATTCACGGGTGAAACCACTCTTGGGCACGAAACCCTGTTTTTTTTTGGTAATGTGGATCCTCGGGTCGCCGAAGTAGGGTCTCTGTATCTGAAAAAGTTGTCGACAAAAAGCGCACAGGACTGTAGTGAGAGTAAAAAAACCTGGCGGTCTCGGGGCACTTTTGGAAGATGAGGTCGGCGAAATGTGTATGAGACTGTAGCGCGAGCTCGATTATCATCCCCATTGTCAGCGCTGCGCGAACGTTGGTCGATTTGGTGTGACGCTCCTGCTGTGCGGGTTTGCAACCGGCTGTGACAAAACGCAATGGCACGGCTGCGTGCAGCAAAGCATGAGTGATGCTGCAATGCTCCTGGCAAGCGGGATTGCAGCTGGAGGTTGCTAAACGCATTGATACAGCTGGGTGAAAGGTAGTTCTTGACCATAGTGCTACACGCTGGAGGCTGCTAAACGCACTGTAACAGCTGTGCAAAGAGAAAACTTGGGTTGCACAGAGCAGAAGTAGCCAAGATAAGTAGCTGCTCAGAGAAGAAGCAGCTGAGAGAAGAGGCGCCTCAGCGAAGAGGTCGCCCAGTGAAGAAGTAAAGCTCAACAAAGACAAGTAGCTCGCCCATCCATCCATCCCTTCATCCATTGGTCATTGATTCATGGATTCACTGGTTCATTGGTTCATTCATTGGTTCACCCGGTCAGTTGTGCATGGATTCCTTCATACCATGTCACTGGCATCTCAACCACCAACTCGTCATTCGTCCATGCACCTCACAGCTTCCACCGCTCATGGTTTCAGCATCTCAAAAACGTTCCCAAACACCATTGATTTCTTATAGTCATCTCCTATTTTCGAAACTTCCGCCCCGGCGCGTGCCGGACTATCTGGTACTTTCATAATGTTTGCATATAGTATCTATATCATCACAACGTCATTGCAACCTCCGAACACGATGATTGACCAGTGGATTTTGGGCAACCCTATTCTAAGATAAACTGGATTCCATACTCTTCGGTTCCAGGCCATCAAATTTTAGTTTTTGTTGGGCCGTCAGGAGGCTCGTGCTTGCGGCGGCGATTTGCCCTAAAGCGGGATGGTGCTGAACAGGCGGGAAAAGTTATTGCAGCAAAACTACAGTAGGTATATCAAATTACATCAAATTATATCAAATTATATCAAATTGTATACATACATACATACATACATACATACATACATACAGACAGACAGACAGACAGACAGACAGACAGACATACATACAGACAGACAGACAGACAGACAGACACACACATACAGACACACACATACATACACACACACACACATACATACATACATACATACATACATACATACATACATACATACATACATACATACATACATACATACATACATACATACATACATACATACATACATACATACAGACACACACACATACACACATACACACATACATACATACATACATACATACATACATACATACATACATACATACATACATACATACATACATACATACATACAGACACACACATACATACATACATACATACATACATACATACATACATACATACACACATACACACATACATACATACATACATACATCCATGCATGCATGCATGCATGCATGCACAAATTATGATCTATACATATATATATATATATATACATATCTATATACATACATGTGTTTAAAATCTCGATTTGGTTTCATTATGTTTCATTTCCTGAGATGACCGAAAAAATGCAGGCAAATGGGCAAACCATTTTTTCTTTTGCTGATTGTTCCGTCGGATGTGAACAAGGGTTCTTCCCCTCCAACGCAAAGCCAAGAGCCGCCAAAACCTTGAAGATTTCAATCAAACTGTCATTCCATTTCTTTCAATCGTATCATACCCATTCATATCCACCATTTGAATCCATTTGATTTTTTCACCTCAATTTCCACTGTTTCCCCAACAAAAATCGACTTCCTCGTCCAGTCCGTGGCCCTTTCTGCTGGTGGAACAACGGTGGAACTGGGACTCTTGGGCTCTGGAAGACTCATGGCTTCGGCGCGTCACTTGGATTGAAACATATTGAAACCATCATATGGGAAAACCGAAAGTCATCATGATCTAAGGGGTTTGTGGAAAAAAATGATGGATTTGACTCACTGATTTGGATAATTGTTTCAAAACCATGGAGATCCAATAAACTTTGAAACATCAGTTTTGAAACCTCATTTTCCCTTTTCAAACGGCCATAAATTGGGGTATCGCCTTGTTTTTTGGACCAACCATTTTCGGGACCGGACCAAAATGGCAATGAACAAATGTTTTTTGGGGGTTTGCTTGGGAGTTGACTCATATTGTGTGGCCACGATATAATCAACTTGTCCTATCACTGGGTGGCAGCCAACTGGGATCCTCCAAGAGATGGTGTGGCTGCACCGATGTGGGTTGATCTCGAGGTCAAAGTGCTGATGAGTTGAGCCTTTGCCAAAAATTGGGTGCAAACTGGGTCGGTGGTGCCACATTTTCAATGCTGGCGATGGACTGATGAACAGAGTTTTTTTTAAAATTGTCTGATCTGGAAAAAGAACTAAGGACCATCACAGTTCCTTGGTTTGCAGAGAGTGCATTGTGCCGTTTGGAAACTTCAAGATGCGAGACTCTCGTTGTTGTATTGCTCGCGACAAGGGTGAATGTCTGTGAGACTTCTGCAAAGCGTTTTCTGCCTACAAGGTGAAACCTGACATTGATGCTGTCTTTGCACTGGGCTGCATACTTTTGGTAGTGCTGTTTGGAATGGAAGAAAACACAACGGACGCTCGTCACAAAACCGATCAGATTCAGACAGTGGGCACGTGAGTTGTTGGTTTCATTTCCACTTAGAAGTCGAAGACTTTTTCAATGGGCTTGAACTACTCAGCCAAATCTTCAGTGCTATTACTGCAAAGAAATATTTCTTTGTAGTTCTTTTATGTTCTTTCTTTACGTCAAAATTGCACTGCTTGAAGGTTGTGTTCATACACCAAATGGCCATCATCTGTGGCTTGACTTGTGGGCTCTTAGAACTTTGACCGATACCCACCATAGATTGGTGTCCAAAGTGGTGATGTTTGGATATACAACCAGCAATACTAGGCGGTATACCCGGTATACACACATACTTGTGGGGATGCAGTCATCAACCATGGGGAATTGACAATTATTGATACCCTATTTTACTGTAAATATCTGTAAATTCTTTTACAAAGACTCTGCAGACGTTTTGGACTTGAGGCGGCACGGCAGTCGCGGAGCGACGAAGGATCCATGTAGACAAAAACTGCTGTTTGCGTCCGTGCTTGCGATTCTTTGGTTTGACGTCCCTGAGTGAGAAATACACTTAGGACGGGTTGACGCCAGCAACCAGGTCTGTTCGAAAGTGATGTAGGTTGAGATTGAACGCTGAGATTGAACTCCACAAACCTAAAGATTGTGACATATGAGTCTTTTTGAATACAATAGCACCTACTCCGCGGTGTACACCGCAGATCCATACAACCCATCCCCATGTGATTAGGAGCTGTGTCATTGACTTGACAGGCTCCTACTGCTCCCAGCAGGCTCAAAAATCATCGGGGAGAATGCAAGACAGTTTTTCACCCCACCAAAACTCACCCTGCACAATCGAAATTCTCAGTAAATGAAAAACACCTTACAAGATGCGACAAATCTCAACATCAGAGTGTGTCCAAGGAAACCAAAGAACATTCAGAAGCCAAGATATGTTGGATGTTTGTGTATCCTGTAAGGATCTGTAGGGGCAGACAACATTGAGTAAACTTCTCAGAGAAAAGGTCAACAGCAAGTCTTCATCCCATGCTTAACGATTATGATGGCATTGGCGGCGACCAAACACACAAAAATGATGATGAACAGCAGCTTCAACCTGTGACTGCAGAGAGTGCAGAACAATCATTTGCAGATGATCGGGACGAGATAGACGCTGCAGCTGCAGACGAGGAAGATGATTCTGCTGCTCGAGAACAAGCTGCATCCAAGATTCAAGCCATTCAACGAGGAAGAGCTGTCAGGAAAAACATGAACGCAAAGTCCTTTGGTGATACAAATGATGACGCATTGAACGAGGATGGGGCAGAGCCAGCACTTGCAGATGATCGGGACGAGATAGACGCTGCAGCTGCAGACGAGGAAGATGATTCTGCTGCTCGAGAACAAGCTGCATCCAAGATTCAAGCCATTCAACGAGGAAGAGCTGTCAGGAAAAACATGAACGCAAAGTCCTTTGGTGATACAAATGATGACGCATTGAACGAGGATGGGGCAGAGCCAGCACTTGCAGATGATCGGGACGAGATAGACGCTGCAGCTGCAGACGAGGAAGATGATTCTGTTGCTCGAGAACAAGCTGCATCCAAGATTCAAGCCATTCAACGAGGAAGGGCTGTCAGGAAAAACATTAACGCAAAGTCCTTTGGTGATACAAATGATGACGCATTGAACGAGGATGGGGCAGAGCCAGCACTTGCAGATGATCGGGACGAGATAGACGCTGCAGCTGCAGACGAGGAAGATGATTCTGCTGCTCGAGAACAAGCTGCATCCAAGATTCAAGCCATTCAACGAGGAAGAGCTGTCAGGAAAAACATGAACGCAAAGTCCTTTGGTGATACAAATGATGACGCATTGAACGAGGATGGGGCAGAGCCAGCACTTGCAGATGATCGGGACGAGATAGACGCTGCAGCTGCAGACGAGGAAGATGATTCTGTTGCTCGAGAACAAGCTGCATCCAAGATTCAAGCCATTCAACGTGGAAGAGCTGTCAGGAAAAACATGAATACAACTTCCACCGATGATACACAGAATAGCTCACTAAAGGAGTGTGGCGAAATGGCTGGTGACAAAGAGGGAAAATCCAGCAGCCGGGCTGCTCTGGCATCGGCTGGCAAAATTGCTAGCAAGGCCTCTCGACCCTGCGAGGATCGGAAGACCGTGCTTGCTGGGGAGAACGAGCGCCTGAAGTGGGGGAAGACGTCCAGCCAGGCTGGGTGGGTGCGATTGTGGTTTGATGTTGAGTGGATTGGAAACAATCATGGGAAAAGGATAATATTTTTGAACAAGAAAATCATATTCCAGAAGTTCAGTGTTGAGTTCCATGTTTGTTAAGTATGGTACATTTGCTTGGCTTGAAATATTGCTGACTCACCTTTCCAATATTTTGGGATGTTCGCTTGAACCACGAAGAGGATATCACATTGGCCTATTTTGGCGATATTCCCTAGTGCTTTCCCATTTTCCCGCTCGTTTCTCAGCTTGATTCAGGCTCATCTTGGCAAGACTCGAACAGAAATGATGGGAAATTCGTAGGACATCCATGAGCCCCTAAGCTATGTATGTTAAAGGCCTAGTTAGAGTCCACACTCAACCCTTGACCTAGTTGTCCTGTTCCTCCGACTCGCAAACCTTGGCTTCATTACAATTAACAGGACAATCTTCAAACAACATGCTTCAGAAAAGGTTGGTTGTCACATGCTTTCACCCTCTCACAAGTCACTAAAGTCACTACTTTTCTTAAGATCTTTCTTCCCCATAGGGGAAATAGGGATTTGTAACGGGGCCATTTCGGATGCCATTAACGCTGGTGTGATGGATGGACGTGGCGATTTGCTGCGGGCATTGAAGCGGACTCCGGGCTACGTTCAGCTCGACGATGTGGGGAGGTTGTTCTCACGGTCGCAGGAGGCTGTGGTGAGCAGCGCGCCACCCAGCAGGCTGGGGAAAAATTGGGGCCACTGACACCATTGGTGAAGATGGGTATTGATGATATTTAATGGTATCTATAATGGTATTTAATGGTATTTAACAGTATTTGATGGTATAATATATATATATATATAATAAAAAACATATATTATATATTATATTTTGTATATTAAATATTATATATGATGTAAATTATACATCATATATCATGTATCATACATTATATATATATATTATATATATATATTATATGTTGTATATATTATATTATATCTATAGAATGGGCTAGCGCCCAAGTGCCGCCGACCCCCTTTTTTTAGGGTGGGGGGGGGGCGGTGACCACAGCCAGTTTAATCCGGAAATGGCGCAGCTGTAGCGAAGGAGGAAACGAAAGAAAACACCATCCGGTAAATTTTCTTTCTGAGTAATAATATGTTATAGATTCAGGTAGACAGATCGACATCTAGAAAAGGACCCATTGACCGGTGATTTTTAGATTATGTATGAACAGCTACTACAAGAAAGGTATACATTATGATCCCGAAAGCATTTGGCCTGCCATTGCGTGCTGGGCGGTCGGCTGCTGCAAAGATGGCCGACAGGCAGGGCCCAAAAGGAGGGTCCCAAAAAGGCATTTGGTGTCTTTTGCCTGCGGGGTTGGGGGTGCCAAAAAAGAGTTTGGAGCGTTTGGAGTGTTTGAGGCCTGGCAAACGGCACGCTTGAACGCCAAGAAAAAGCTATTGGTGGGGCCCTGGTGCCTTTGCCTGCAGGGTTGGGGGTGCCAAAAAGGAATTGATGTGGCCTTGATGTCTTTGCCTGCGGGGTTGGGGGTGCCAAAAAGGCATTTGGAGGGTTTGGAGGGTTTGGAGGGTTTGAGGCCTGGCAAACGGCAGGCTTGAACGCCAAGAAAAAGCTACTGATGTGGCCTCGATGTCTTTGTCTGCGGGAGTTCCAAAAAGGCGTTTGGAGCGTTTGGAGGGTGGCTTTGGTGTCTTTGCCTGCAGGGTTCGGGGTGCCAAAAAGGCGTTTGGAAGGTTTGGAGGGTTCGGCAGGCTTGAACGCCAAGAAAAAAGTATTGCTGTGGTCTTGGTGTCTTGGCCTGCGGGGTTGGGGGTGCCAAAAAGGCATTTGGAGGGTTTGGAGGGTTTGGAGGGTTTGAGGCCTGGCAAACGGCACGCTTGATCGCCAAGAAAAAGCTATTGATGGGGCCCTGGTGCCTTTGCCTGCGGGGTTGGGGGCGCCAAAAAGGCATTTGGAGGGTTTGGAGGGTTTGGAGGGTTTGGAGGGTTTGGAGGGTTTGAGGCCTGGCAAACGGCAGGCTTGAACGCCAAGAAAAAGCTACTGATGTGGCCTTGATGTCTTGGCCTGCCGGGTTGGGAGTTCCAAAAAGGCGTTTGGAGCGTTTGGAAGGTGGCTTCCGTGTCTTTGCCTGCGGGGTTCGGGGTGCCAAAAAGGCGTTTGGAAGTTTTGGAGGGTTTGAGGCCTGGCAAACAGCAGGCTTGAACGCCAAGAAAAAGCTATTGATGTGGCCTTGGTGTCTTGGCCTGCGAAGTTGGGGGTGCCAAAAAGGCATTTGGAGTTTTGGAGGGTTTGAGGCTTGGCAAGCGGCAGGCTTGAACGCCAAGAAAAAGCTATTGATGTGGCCTGCGGGGTTGGGGGTGCCAAAAAGGCATTTGGAGCGTTTGGAGGGTGGCTTCGGTGTCTTTGCCTGCGTGGTTCGGGGCGCCAAAAAGGCGTTTGGAGGGTTTGGGGTGTTTGAAGCCTGGCAAACGGCACGCTTGAACGCCAAGAAAAAGCTATTGATAGGGCCCTGGTGTCTTTGCCTGCAGGGTTCGGGGTGCCAAAAAGGCGTTTGGAAGCTTTGGAGGGTTTGAGGCTTGGCAAACGGCAGGCTTGAACGCCAAGAAAAAGCTATTGATGGGGCCCTGGTGGGGGTGCCAAAAAGGCGTTTGGAGCGTTTGGAGGGTGGCTTTGGTGTCTTTGCCTGCGGGGTTGGGGGTGCCAAAAAGGCGTTTGGAGGGTTTGGAGGGTTTGGAGGGTTTGAGGCTTGGCAAGCGGCAGGCTTGAACGCCAAGAAAAAGCTATTGATGTGGCCTGCGGGGTTGGGGGTGCCAAAAAGGCATTTAGAGCGTTTGGAGGGTGGCTTTGGTGTCTTTGCCTGCGGGGTTGGGGGTGCCAAAAAAGAGTTTGGAGCGTTTGGAGTGTTTGAGGCCTGGCAAATGGCACGCTTGAACGCCAAGAAAAAGCTATTGATGGGGCCCTGGTGCCTTTGCCTGCAGGGTTGGGGTGCAAAAAAGGCATTTGGAGGGTTTGGAGGGTTTGAGGCCTGGCAAACGGCAGGCTTGATCGCCAAGAAAAAGCTATATTGATGTGGCCTTGATGTCTTTGCCTGTGGGGTTGGGAGTGCCAAAAAAGCGTTTGGAGCGTTTGGAGGGTGGCTTTGGTGTCTTTGCCTGCGGGGTTCGGGGTGCCAAAAAGGCGTTTGGAGGGTTTGGAGGGTTTGAGGCCTGGCAAACGGCACGCTTGAACGCCAAGAAAAAGCTATTCATAGGGCCCTGGTGCCTTTGCCTGCAGGGTTGGGGGTGCCAAAAAGGCATTTGGAGGGTTTGGAGTGTTTGGAGGGTTTGAGGCCGCGTCTTTGGTGTCTTTGTTTGCGGGGGGTTGCCGAGAAGGGCAGAATGGCCGAATTAACAAAAGACAGAGATTTCATCCTTGGGTGGACCGGGGGGGATGATGATTGTTTAAATGTGGGGTACCATTTTGGCTCAAAGTAACCCCAAATTTGGTCCCACTTAATAGGTGGGGGTATGTCAGGGTTGATTCCGAGCAGCCATGTTTTAGATAGTTGGGTGAGTCTGGATGATGCGTGTCAATGGGCTGGACTCAGTCAGGGCGTTGTGCGATCTTGGGCAAGGCAGTTAGGTGATGCAAACCTTTCTTCTTTACAAGTGATTGCAGTCATGCCCATGGAGACATTGAGGTTAGCCATGAATAACGCTGTTAGAGGTGGTGTGGCGCTGACTGAGATTGAAAAGGCCCAGTTGACATTGCTGATTAACGCCGTGAAGGCGAAGTTTGGCATAGCATTTACCGGTCTCACTGGAGGGGTGGCTGATACAGCGAACTCGAGCAGGCCGGCGCACGGTGCTGCCAGCCCATCTCAAAACAAGGTGAAGATAAAACTGTCACAGGTGATAGATCAAGGTTCTGACGCTGAAGTAGAGCAGCTTCCTCACGGCACTTTGCAGCAACTGCGTCAGAAGTATGTTCTTGTAGAAGGTGATGTACCACTGGAATCCGAAGAAGTGACAGACTCACAGCTTACTTGTTTAGACTGGAAGCTTTCAATGGACCTCCCACCGTTTGTTGACATGGGCGTCTGGGGCCCCTACGGTGACAGACTCGCACGACAGATGAAATTTGTCAACCAAACCTGGAGAGACGGAGCATGGAAGACAGTAGAAGTTCCAGGAGCTTCTAGTTATGATGCTTGGTTGGAAGCTTGGAGGATCTTTCGCACCGCGGCCATCATGTTGGAGATGGCCACTAGTGCAGTTCTCGATAGGTATGCTGCTGAATTTAAACAGAGAATCCAACAACACCCAGGTGTATGGCATCTTGCAGCACAAGCCGATATCAGGTGCAGATCCGAATTTTGGGGTCAGGAGAGACGACGACAAGAAGCCTTTAGGGCCTCGCATCCCCAAATGTCAGCTTACAATCCCAAACAGCCATGGAACTCAGTCATCAAAGCCTCCGCCTGCAGCTCTGAGTTTTGGGATAGAGAATTCACCAAGCCAGCCATGCTCTACCAGATGAACGGTCCACGCAGCATGCCAGCCTTCCCGTCTCCACCCACTGGACCGGGCTTTGGACCAGGGGCAGGCTCAACATCAGCCAGAGATGGTGGGCAAACATCGAGGAAAAGGCCGTTCGACCCTCAGAGAAAGGATGGCCGCTACTTCAAGTCCCGCAGCGGGGTGAACATTTGCTTCGATTGGGCTTGGAATCCAGATGGTTGTGACAATGAGAAATGCAAGCGTGAAATGGCGCACTGCTGCGAGTTTTGCCGTGGGCCGCACAGGACGATCGATTGTCCTCAGGTGCCTGGTTGGAAGCCCCCAGACAAGAACAGTGAGAAACCCAAAGGACGGGGCCGAGGCAAGGGCCGCGGCCGCACTCGTCAGTTGTGACAAAAGGAACCTGGGCAGCCAGTTCGATCTCAGGTGAGCCTGTCTTCAGAGAAGTTGGAACATCTGAGAAAGAAGCTGGCTGCCAAACAGGCAGAATTCGTTTTGAGCAAGTCACCTCAAGCACCCAATGGCTGTCCTGAACAATTGCTGGCCAGCAGGAAATGCACTGGAGCTGACGATGCCTTCATGGAACTCCGTGCGGGCAAAGCTGAATTGATGTTAGCAGTGAAGCGAGCCGTTGGTGGAAGCGTGGAGGCAATTTTAGATTTGACACAAGCCACTGCTTTCAAGGATCTCAAGAAGAAGATCAAATCACGAAAGGTGCGGTGGATCCATCTTGCGCCCCCATACCGCACTTTCACCAAGGTGCGCCGCAAAGACAGGTACACAAAATGCAGAAAACTGAGAAGCCGCAAACAACCTGGAGGGCTAGAGCCCAAAACGCGTTCAGTACGCGAAGCAAACTTGGTGGCGTCACGGGCAGCGCAGCTTGCACTGCTTCAATGGAAGGCGGGCGGCGCGTTTTCTTTGGAAAGCCCGGCGGGATCATTGCTTTGGGAATACAAGCCGGTGAAGCAGCTGGCATCCTTGAAGCACGTTTTATTGCTGTTTGGCGACCAATGCTGTTTCAATGGAGAACGTGTCCGGCCGACAGGCTGGCTGACGAACGCATCGTTTCTGCAAACCCTGGAGAGAAAATGCCCCGGGGCCCCACTGCACCATCACTCACCATTTGAGGCTCCTGCCGCTTCTGAATACCCTCAAGGGCTTTGCGAACACCTAGCGGCTTGTTACAAGAAATTTTTGGAGGACCA